AAAACACAGGGCGACACTTACTTGAGCATATCATTGTTCATGCCAGACACCATCCTATCAAAGGCCTGCTCCAGCGGCTTCTCCGAGCCCTTCTGATTCACCTGAGCAGGAAGGAGACAAACAGACTGGTCAGACTGGTCTCCTGAGTGCTTCCAGTAAGTGACTGAGGAAGTGAGGACGGCTCACCAGGTTCAGAATCGTTTGCTTCCCGTAGATGAGGAGCTGAGAGTCAAAGTGCCTCTGGAAGCCGTCCATCTGTGCAACATTTCCATCACGTTAGCACAAGATTTCCATTTCACACGATTGAAACGAGCGTGTGCAGAAAGATCAGCTTACATGATTGGTGGTTTTGCTGATTATAGGTTTGGGTTTGTATCTGAGGTTGGGTCTCTGACTCCAATAAAAGGGCATCGAGCCTCGTGTCTGGTTGTTGCAAAGAAAAAACATCCATCCGTTCTCATCAGGGTCGCAGGGGGCGGGACTCTGCCCAGCCGCCACAGCTAACGGTGACGCTAACACATCTAATAAATGATCCTCAATGCAAACAGTAAAAACAGCGATGATACGATGAACCCTTAACGTACCTGCACAAATGAAGCCTTTGCTCCCTCATACAGGACGATCTGCTCGCTCTCCACAAAGTTAGCAGCGTGGCCTTCAGAGTCGATGCCTGTGGACACAGACACCGTCAGCACTCAGAGGCACCGTCTGCTCCTGTGCAGAGCAGCATGGTGATGCTGCCACACAGCGCCACACAGGGCGCCCTCCTTTACTGTCCACCGCTCAGCACAGGCTGTTACATAGGGGTGGGTTTTTATAATCGATGTATCGATTAAAATCGATTCTGGCTTGGATAACGTGAAATCCATTCATTAAAATCCTGAATCGATTTTTTAATATGAATTTATTTTGCCCGAAACGCCAGAATCTCTGGTGAAATCTCCCAAAATTTCAACAACCACCAAACAGCTAAGACAGTAAATGAGAGCAGGAACACGGATTCTGCACAGAGATGTAAACACACAGCACAGACCTGTGGATCAGAATCAGTTAGATGTCGCCTTTCTCACGGTCGGGGCTGAAAGCCGACAGCTCGCCGACTCTGATCTGTCGGCCGGTCCTTTGTGTTCACGCCCTTTATGCGCTGATTCCAAAGCTGTTAGTTTGATGTCTTTCCAAACTAGCTTCACATAAACATCGTCATGAATTCACTCTGACTTTTACTGTTTTGCTTCCACCAAATGAACAGCTCTCCCTCTCTGTACTTCAAGAACAGTTTCCCGTCTAAAGATTTTTTCTTCATTATTCGCTTGCTTGTTACACACAAGTCTTTACAGGCTGTCGGCCGATGTTTTTTTT